CCTCCCTCCCTCCTTCCTTCCTTCCTTCCTTCCTTCCTTCCTTCCTTCCTTCCTTCCTTCCATTTCCCCCCTCCCTTCTTCCTTTCATTTTCTTTCCTCCCCCTCCTCTTCCCTTCCTCCCTCACTCCCCTTCTTTTTCCCTCCCTCCCTCCCTTCTTTTCTTCCTCTCTCTCCCCCTTCATCTATCCTTCCTTCCTTTCATTTCCAGCGTTGTTACAGAAGCAACCTTTTCAGACATCCCTCCTTCCTTCCTTCCTTCCTTCCTTCCTTCCTTCCTTCCTTCCTTCCTTCCTTCCTTCGCAACTCCAGCCCGGGTGGCTCTGCAGATCTTCTCGGCTGAGCTCAGCAGGGTTAAGTTGCTGCAAGAGGGCGGCCCTCCGCCTGCTTCAGTTCCAGCTGGATCCTCTGCTTTCCTGCCCGATCCCAGATCTGAGTCCTCGTTTCCCCCCTCCATCCCATCCCGCTTCCTTCAGGTTATCAACTCTGTGCAGCCTCCAAGACCCCATCAGGGTAGCGGTGCCACAAACCGCCTCAAATCAAGCCAGAGGCAAGCAACTACCCCGGGGGGGGGGGCTTGCACCTCTCAGCTGGCTTTGGACCTCTGCCCCCCCCCAACCTCAGATTTGCCAGAGGCCCATGCTGATGCCATGGCAGATGTTTCTCCCCCACCCCCACCCCAAACCACAGCAGCCTCCTCTTCTCTCCTGCATCCAAAGCCCCAAGGACGGGCGCTGGAGGTCGGCCAGCAAACCGCACGCTTGGCCCCATTACCCTCACCGGCCAGCTCGACGGCTCGTGGCCCTCGCTCTGCTTCTGCTGCTGCTGCTGCTGATGTGGCAGTTCAGAGCTGGCGCCCGGAGGCCACTTGGCTGCAATTTGCTCGGCCCAGATGCCAAGTGTCCTATCCAGGGACGGATCGAAATATAAGCCAGGGTAGGAAAGCAGCACCAGCCAGGATCGCCCCGTCTCCTCCCTCCACCCCGCTGAGGAGACAAGCCAGGAATAACAACGTTTGCAACCATATTTCTCTCTCTGATTTTTCCCTCCCAAGGCTCATAACTCAGCGGGGGAGTGGAGTGTTCTCATGTTCTCTGCTGGTTTCCCGAGATATGCCCGCCTCAAATCAGTATTCTTTCTTTCGCCGTTGTCCAAAAATAATGGACGTTCCTTCTTTTGTAACCCAGAAGCCATCGTACTTATCAATAGCAATAGCAATAGCAATAGCAATAGCAATAGCAATAGCAATAGCAATA